CTATATATACTGCACAACTTTACACTTTGAACATATGCTTTGCTAGTGTTCAGAACATCGCATTTTACCCGAAACATGAACTGTTTAACATGGTTCGCACGAGACATCATCGCACTATATGCCGGTAGCCATCGCGATTTGTTCTTGCTGAGAAATTGAAATCCGGTGGTGCAAAATGCACGCTGCAGAAGGTTCGCGCTCAGTGCAAGAGGTGTATTCAAAAGACACAAATTATTCCTGCTTGGTGCAGCGTCGTGAGGAACGGCGCGAGCGTCTGGCACCCCGGAAACGCTCTTTCAGGCAAGGGTGTTTTTGCGAAATAAAGTATAGTTTTCGAGATTACGCTTTCTGCTCTGTGCCGAAGACACGGAGCTGGGGAATCTTTACAACATAGTACGTTTTTACCCCCCCCCCCCCTTTCCCCTTCCCATCACTTTTCTTGTTTCGATGCTCCTCCAGAGAATACTTCTTGTTCCTGAGAGACTTCCTGCCGTGTTCTATTCGATGGTGTTAATTCGACAGTTATATGTGTATTGTTTGTTAACTGAAATATTGCGTTTATTTTGTTTTGCAAACAAATACTGTTAATGTGAGTTTAAACAAAAAAACGGAGGTGGTCAAACCCTGGGGAAGAACTTGAGAACGACACTTCTGTGAGACTAAAGGCGGAGTCACACTCCTTATACGTCGCACCATAGCCTCCTCTATACTCACAAAGCCTGGGAGTTCGAAGACGGATCCCTAGAGTGCCCCGTCGCAGATGTGCAGCGCGAGGATTTGGTAGCAGAGAGCATTTCTGGTATTCAGCACACAGCTTTTGCAGCGGCGAGGCCCCGAAACATGGTTTTCAAACCCGACGAGAAGCGAAGCGATAGTGCGAGTAACGCGATGAGCACGAGCGGATATTCCATTACTCGGGAGAAGTGTGTTTCGGCGTCTCGCCGCAGCGGGGCGTCCGATACATGCCTCTCCTCTCATCCATTGTCTGCCGCTCTACCTTTTCACTTTTGGAGGCCGCATCTCGTGGCGGCCTGCCAAGATTTGTCAATAGGGTAGGCTATGGTCATACAAAAGACAGTCTCCAAATAAATTCGAACGCAAGTCACCCCGGGATCCGTGCTTCGTATGCCGCATGGCAACGAGTTCAGGGAGAAACATGTAACGCGGCATCCTAACCATGGATATGGCGGGGACTGACGTTTGCAAACTGTCTTCTGAATGATGTATGAGCAATGTGACTCAGACATTAGAGCGCCTATCAACGTTCGGCTGTCCCTTTCAGGCCACATGGGTCTTTCTTTTTAGGTATCCTTCCCGTCCTCAATTGTAGTTTCATGTAACGTTGAATTAATAAGTCACATTTGGTCCTTTTAATGCTTCTATTCTCGGGGACAACTTTTTGAGACAGTTCAGCAACAACAAAAACATGTTTGGGCGCCTCACTGGTACATGTAAAATGAGTCGTGCAACAATTTTTTACCTTTCACTGAATACCGCAAAGAGCTAATCTCTCGCGTTGATAACCTGCCAAAACACCCATTCGTTTTCCTCTCCGCTCAATGGCAGACTCATGAAAAAGAAAGGAAAGACGGTGCTTTCCCCTCCTCTACTTGCCATTAGAACAAGCGGCCACGTGATCTAACGCTAATTATATACCGACGGTGTTCATCGTAGTCATGCGCTAGGGTTGACAAAGAGAAAAACATCGGTTAAGCTTCAGACGTTGTTAGAGTTCGGCTATTCTTAACTTCAATTGAACACCAGTCATTACTCGATTGTTTGGCGAAGCGGATTGTCATAAAACCGTTGAAAATCGGGCGAGTTGGTTATGCATAGTTACGAAGAGGGAAACAGCGCCAAAAGTACCGAGGACAAAGAACGAAGAACACACTGACCGAGCGCTGACTGACAACTGGTTTATTTGCACGTAAGGGGTTTCCAGAAATAAACCAGTTGTCAGTCAGCGCTTCGTTCTTTGTCCTCCCTACTTTTGGCGCTGTTTCCCTCTTTGTAACTATGATTGTCATAACCCCGAGCACTTTACTTGGGCTCGTGACAATCGAGTACGTCACGACGTCACGTGACTCCCGGTGAGAAGTCGTGATGTCAAATGACGTAAAAGTTTCAATAACGATAATAAATCTACTGGTGTTCTCAATTTAAGTCGTCCTGACGCAGACATTGACGTGAATAAGTCACAGGGCACGTGACGTGACATTACTTGACAGCATGTCTTGACTCCATGACGTCACGTGACCACGTGACACATGATTAATCATAGTGTTAATACAAAACCTCCATGAAAACCCAGACGTTCTTATACAATGCGATTCGGTACATGACAATATGATCACCACATAGAAATAAAGCTTCCAAGTTTTACTTCTCTCAAATATTTTTTTTTGTAATGTAAGAAACTTATCTTGAAACATTTTGAACTGCTTACCGTTATAATTTTGTCCAGTTCAGTTTCGGTTCAGTTTCAAGATGGCGGCAAATATCTCGGTTCGGTTCTGTTCCGGTTCAACACTCTAATCCTATCACAAAAAAAAAAAAAATTCGCATGCATATGTTTTAGCATACGTGGAATGCAACTTATCTAGGTTTGGGTAGAGTATATGTATTTATATTTAGAAGGAACCTGAAGAAGCTTTTAATAGACCTTCGAGAACTGCAAACGTTGCTTTGATTTCCAACTTTTTTTTATGGTGAAGGAGGTCTCGCACACATTGTTTTTGCTGTTTATTGCACTCACTGGCTTAGAAGAAGCCACTTGGCATATTTTACTATGCTCATTTTATTGTGTTGTCAAGCCCCCAAGCCAATCTGCATCAAAAGTTTTTTTTTTTTTCGTTTGCATCTCATTCAACAAACAAAAATTTAAAGCTCTATAAAAACTGACACCAGATTTATAAAAACAACATTAATCACTTTAAGCTGCGCAAATTTCATTCAGCTGGTACAAATAACTATTAAAAAAAAAAGAGTTCTCCTGGCGCGTGTCCTCTTATATGTCTGTGTTCAAGGGCTTATCTCGGTACATTAATGTAGTGTTTTTTTTCCTCGCGTATGTTTGCTCGTTACTTTCTGGCCCTTTGAGGCTGCAACACATACCTAACCCGGCCCCTCAGCCCTAAACTCTGGAGACCCCTAGACTAAACTAATCACCCGATTCTGGGCTTTTTTTTGTGTGTGTGTGTGTGAGTGATTGGTTCAGCCGTTAATAGCAGACCCTCAACGACCACGATCGTACCATGACGACACACTTTTGCCGTTGTTTGACTTCATAGGATTACAACGTCGGGTGCGATCGGACTAAGAGTAAAACGAAATATAGACCAACATGCGACTCTGCGATGGCGTCGCACTCAAAGCGGCGCATGTGCAGATGCTCAATCCTCACGCGAACCTGTTTTCCGTGCAAGCACACAGCCCACACCTAGTTAGGGCAAACAGGGGCTTGTTTTGTACGGAGCGCGTCGGACCACAGGTGCGCCAGTCCGGGAACTGCACATGCTGCTCGGGACATGAAAAAGTAGGCAGGCAGGGAGGCAGGTGCTGGTTGGGCCAGAACGAGAAAAGAACGCGGGAGGCTTGTATATTGAACCTTTATGAATAAAAGCACGCAGCACTACTGGCCAATGTATATTCTGAACGCACTTGAGGCGCAGCGCTCAGAAGCACTCAGAAAAAAGGGAAAGGGGGGGGGGGGATGAAACAACTCAGATAAGGATGGCGAAATAGCGAAAACACGGTTCTTTTACATTCTTTAACGTTACAGTATCACAAGTACAAGAACATCTCATGTTTGATCGAAGTACAGGTGACCGAGTGTGGCAACGCAGCGCAGCTCAAAGTACGAGGAGCAAACTCGGGCACTTCACAACCCCGGGTGGCCTGGGCTCGGTCTAGACCCTGTCCGTTTCCAACGGGCTGTGCAGTGCACCGAATCACGGTCGATTAATCGCTGCATCATCGTGCACGTCAAACGCAGCCGGGTGGCAACCGTGCAGCACCGACGAAATTGCTCATCTGCGATGTGAACCAATCAAACCGTTTACAAAGCCATGTCAATCTTACGATGTCTGAATATACGCGTCTATTTCGTCCGCTTCAGAGCAATCCGAAAGCCTCAATATAAAAAAGAAGCGTCACGGTTGTTCTGGTTTTAACGGAAGAGCTTTCGCAGCTGTTTAAATTGAGTGCTTTTTTCTAACAATATTAACAAAGTTATTGCGTGGTTATTTCGAGAGATATCGAAAATGAAACAAATTCGCGCTCTAGAACCCGGGGTGCTGTCTAGTACCGGCGTGCTGTCGTGTGTCACTATACTGCGTGACGCATATCAAAGATCGAAGAGCAGTTAAACAACGGTACCTCGAACGTGTCTCAAACTAGCGAGTTCACCTCGTCCTAAATGTGTCATATGCCTCTGATACTTTTATGACGCCCGATGACGTCAAAAAAGTGTCATATGCCGCCGGTCGTGCTCCTGGTGGTGTAACAGCAACGGTCGAGGGAGTGGCAGACGCCTGTTTTGCAGTAGCTCGATCTTGAGCTTGACACTCCACCGAAGTTGTAGCGGCCAAGGGTTGGGACACACCGCGACGACAGCGACACTGGCATCAGCTCGCACTTTTTGCCGGGACATTTAGCTTCAACCACCAGGATCACGATATCCGATGACGTGACTCGCAGTCTCTTGTGACGTCATTTGTTACCTTTTCGAAAATACCTTTGACGTATGGGCAGGACTGGACGCTAAACGCCGGTCGAAGACTCGCTCTCAATAGTTTTGCCACACTGGCAAAATTTATCATGCACAACGGCGTCACCATACACGCCCCATTGATGCTTACTAACTTCCAGCTGCGTGAGAATACATGCAAGAAAAATTATGTGAAATGAAATTGCTTACCGATCTTTGTTTCTTGACAGATCGTCGTGTCCGACATCTTCACGCAAGAGCATCTTGCGATCATGGACGTCGTGCTCGGACTCTTGTCTCTCGGGAGCTTCCTCAGCTCTGGGCTTCGGGACACACTCGTCTACAACAAGACATCGAAACGGGTGAGGAGCTGCCCACACAAAACACGCGTTCTGCTGCGGACAGTATTTGCTGGACGGAAACGGAACTCTTCCCTCCGCTTCCGGTCCGCTTTCGGGCGTTTTTTGCCAGTGGGGAAAGACGCCCTCCGCAAGCGCCTTTGAATGAAGCCTTGAACCGTGCTCATGACGTAGGGCAGATCGTAATCACGCATATATTCTACGCATATACCATATGTCGTCAAGACCTCCGCTGCTGTCGTCACTCCCCAACTTACTGAAAACAATAAAGACGAGGTGGCGACAGCAACGAGGCGAAGAGGAAAAACACGCTGTTTTCGATGTCGGTTTCTTCGCTGAAAAAGAACTCGCGCGCCAAAATGTTAAAGTTTACTTTCTTTTTTCTTTTGTTTCCTTTTTGAAAAGCGCGCAGTTTTTTGTTTGTTTTTTCTTTTTTTGTCTTGCACTGAAGAGAGCGTGTCTTGTTTCGACAGTTCTTAGCCACGTTTCATTCTCCATGCACGGCGGCTAGCTCCTGCTTCGTTTGTTGAAGCCACAGTCACAACGTTCATATATCGTACAAAAGACACGGAGTTTCTCTGCAGACATTGTGAAAGAACTGTCTACGGACACACCTCGAGCATCTTTGAAGAATCTTTGCTCCATACGTGCCTCCAACATGTCCGCAGGCCGTCTTTTCTATGCTACATTTGCTGTGGGATCGCGGCTTTACGGCCACTTTGGGGAGTTCATCGCCGGAGACGCACGGCACAACCTGAAAAAATTTCACGCGGCGGCAGACCGCGGCGAAGGCTCTGGAGCTGTTCAGATCAGGGTGTAAGATAGACAGGTGGGGAAACGAGAGCTAAATGAGCGACCGGATTGTGTCACCCTCGGTTTTCTCTTTTTCTGTGGCGCCATCTGTGTGGAGCACCGCGAACTCTCACTCCAGGGAGGCGACCGGTGGCGACCGGCTAAACTGACGGAGATGGTTTCTCGTGGATTTTCAGCGGAGGACTGTCGTGCTCTCGGTTTATTTGGCGCACTCTCCCATAGAGTTCCATGCAAATCCGATTCCGATTTTTTTCCTCTCGCCGCAGCGCCATCTGTCGCAAATCGGGGGTATCCGCAAGCGGACAAGTACACAATCCGGTCACGGCGCTGCGGTAGACTTCTATGAGCCGTTTCCCCACCTGCCTATCTTACACCCTGGTTCAGATGTGCTAGTGTCAGCAAAATCTCTGGTCTCTTTGGCGGCAGTGGTCAGCGCTCTTTTTACCAACTTACCCCATGGACGCGATTCAGGCGCGACGAGGACTTTAGTATCTACAAAATCGCAGCTGCTGTTTTTTTTTTGTTTTTTTTTTTCATTGCAAACTACACTAAAAACAACTAACACTTCTCTCCGTGAGCCATGGAATTCACATTTTTGCGCTGGTCATTTTGCGGAGATCTGTTAACGGGACGAGCGAGATTAATATCCTCGCGTTTTTGTGGCTGTTTTTGATCGTATTGCTTTTGTGTTTACGTTTTGTTGCAATTTTCAGAGCGGAAATAGTTTGCCTGTACCTGACGCCGTTGCCGCGTGCTCTCTTCGATGGTTCCTGACATTTTAAGAAACACCACACTATCAGAAAAAAAAAGTATATTCCTATACCTCTTGTTTCATATACGACACCCCAAAACTTCATTTCGACGTACAGCGCGCTGACGTCGTACAGACGGCCTCAACTTTTACGAGGTGCTTGAGAACGGTGAGATATACCTCATTAAACAGCTAAAGTACGTATCAAAGACTACAGAGAAAGGTATTGCAGAAGGGTTTAGATTTGGGCTAGTTGGTTGAACATGTTTAGGGGTTAAAAGCGCTAAAAACGACGGACGAGTAGGAGAGACACACACTACAGAGCGCTACTTGCAACTTGTTTATTATTGGAGAGAGGCAAGCCAGATAAAAGACCAGTGGTGATACCGTATATACATAACGTTAGCCGTAACATCAAAAAGGTGGGGGAAAAGCATGGCATTTCGGTTCTCCTTTCAGCTCCACAGAAATTGAGCAAGCTATGTGGGAGGGTGGAACGGGGTGACACACGGTTGGATATTTGTCAGAAAAAGCACGCAACAAAATACGTAGGACGCAGAGTGGGGGTAGTGTACAGAATTCCTCTGTCTTGTGGGAGGGTATACGTGGGGCAGTCGGGGCGATGCGTGAACGAAAGACTGAGGGAACATGCCCTGTCATTGAGGTCAGCCCCCTCTGGCAATCTCGCAGTGCATTGCAGTAGGTGTGAGTGTTTACGCTATTTAGACAACACCGTCATCTTGGCACGAAACAAAAATAGAAAGACAAGGGAGATGACGGAAGCGTTTTTTATTTCCGAGTGTGACGAGGGTACGTGTGTAAGTGCCCCATCGACAACCCTGTTTGAATCAGAGTTATCGTTTTTACGATCATGCATGGTGTGAGAGTAAGAATTGTGATAAGCGACGGTTGGAACTGAATCGGATGTGTGTCTTGTTGGTTTCGCGGTACGTGTGGTTTTTCCAATAATAAACCAGTTGCAAGTAGCGCTCTGTGGTGTGTGTCTCTCCTACTCGTCCGTCGTTTTTAGCGCTTTTAACCCCTAAACTACAGAGAAAACACTGAGGTTTTACAGTAGTACCAAGAAAAGCCCGATTACTTTTTTTTTGTGGTCACTAACACGAACATTAGCTATTTCAATAAGTTGTACCACTCGACTACCAAGCCTCCTGTGAAAGTTGGGAACGACAGCTGTGCGTGAGAGTGCTGTACGTCGAACTGAAGTTTTCGCCATGTTGAAATAACCTGAGACTGGGGTAGAGAAGAAGCATCAAAGCGTAGAAGGGACAGAAAATAGACAGGACGACGTCTCAAACTCAGCTCCAGCTCGCCTGCACCCTTACGATTTTTTCTAGGAAGTTTTTGGTTGTCGTATATGGGATAGAGGCGTAAAAATACACCTTTTTTTTCTGAGAGTGCCGGCCTTAATTATTATCTTCACCCTTCCCGCTTGGTGGTGCGGTTACGGCTTGCTTGACGATTAATGCCACAACCTGACGCAGTGCCTCACGAATCTTGGTTGCCCGAATTGGTCAGGCCAAGCGTTTTAAATGTGTGTCAACTGTAGTTACCGTTCACAATCAGTAGCGCCACTATAGCTCACTGCCAATCGCCGCGGCCGCTCTGATAACTTCCATTTTTAGCGAAAAGTGAAGCAAAGCGGCGGGCCATCCCAACAAAGCGGGAATGAGAAACTCGAAAGGTCGTGCCTCGATAGAAAGAATAATATATTCTAATCATTTGAACCATATACAAAAAAAAAAAAAAAACGGAACACAAAAGCAATAAGTGCTTGTCTGTGGACAATGTAAACTGACCTTAAAGCAATTGGAAATACAGCTATACAAAACATTGTGTTAATGCAGGACACCACTCGAAGCGGAGAACTTTTCATCTATAGGCATTATTTATACAAACGTTGCACAGCATAATAATTGCTCGGAAAGAGGATGACATGAAAAGGTTTAAATTTGTAAGATACTACCGCAAATAGTTATGTAAATGTTCATAAAATAAACGCGGCACCACCTAAGATAAACTATCGTTTAGAAAAGGTAATGATAATAGACAGTTTTTTTTAGAGAAACATACAGTATAACAATTATGGCATACGGGTATGGAAATAATTCACATAAATTATGTTATTTGTAATCGAAACTGCAAAAATATGTGAAAAACGCTATTTTATTGCCTGCGTCGGGTTAAAGATACTGCAGCTTTTCATTACAAAATACCATAACAATTAATTCAGTAAAAATCAAACTCACAGCTGCGTTACTTACACACTTTAAGTGCATAAATTTCAAAAACTAGCTGCAACATCAATTTATTACCAAATTATTTGTTTTCGTGAATCGAGATTTGATGCCAAAAAGTGCCGTTGAGAACATCGTGTTTCAAAGTACAGAAATTTGTACTTTAAATGGTGCCACCAGAACGGTAATAACTTATCCGGAAAAAATACTTTAGTTGAAGGAGTGCAAGATTCTAGCATCATCCGCCAGAATATTTGAAAGTTAATGAGACTACTTGTTAAAATTGTGACCTTAAAAAAGATTGAAATTTTAAAGTCGTGTGCCCCTTTCACAAACAGCAAACACTCTGCTACACTTTGGGGGAAAACAGAATATACTATGTTATTAACGGACAGAAACCAATCCAGCATTGTTGACAAATAGTTCACCACTTATGTTATATATATATATTTTTTTTTTGCATGTTCCAGTTTGAGAGTGGTACTGCCGAAAACAACCGTTCACCTTTCGGTGTGGCGTTTTGCGTCTGCATCTTCAAGTAAGCAAAGTTGTGATTTCTACTACAATTAAATTTGTGATGAAAATTTATAATCATGAAAGAAACCTGACTACCGATGTTCTTTGGTCTTCAAGAGGCGACATTCACCAAAAAAGTTCGCAATATGTTTGAGAATGAGTTTCATGAGGAGGATCACGAGGTTTGTGATAGTGATGTTGATAGCGAGAACAAGCATATTCTTAAATTTTATTATTACCTTCACCATCATCCTACTAGTAATATATAGTTCACCTTTGATGATCACTATTTAGTACGTAAACAAGGGGATTTCAACAGAGGTGACCATGCATCAGGAAGGCAATTAATCATAGTGCAGGATTAATTATAATGTACACGTTTAATACACAAAGTCGGCCGATACACGTGGATATGCTTATGTATCAATAAAAGATAAAGTAAAAGTAATATATAGGCATAGTAAATTGCTCAAAGAATCCTAAGACGAAGGTAAAGCTGCGATTTTACCATAACAAGATAGAAATCTGACTCATTATGTGCCAAACACCGATCGGCATATGGCACGTTCCACTAACCCTTTCCCCAAATCTTCGGCAGCTCGTTGCTCGTCGGCCTGACAATAAAGACCTCAATGTGTTGAAAGTCGAAAGATGTTTGTCCTGTCCGTCCTCTTCGTCTGACTATTTCGTATATTTTTGAATTTCTCCTACATGGGACTATTTCTATATGCCGCAAATACTTCGATTGCTCAGTACCTTCTCCGCAATGCACCCCCGTCATACCACCGCGTGTCCCAAAAAGCAGCCGGGTTCTTTAAATCGACCGAAAGAATCGGTTTCTTAACCTATCGCGTTCCGACTTTGTACAGCGTTGGCCTCATGTGGTGCATTTTTCCTCTAAAATTCGCAAAGAGCAAACTTACCTGAGAAAAAAGTAAAAAAATAAAAATGTTTAACTCCTATGAAAACGCAGTGAAGCCACCGGTCTTTCTACAGTTGCGTCGGCATCGTTTTTTTAGCTTTCTTTGTGAGTGTCGGCGTTTTGGAGGGAGCATTCGCGTGGGCGGAGCGGCCGGGAGGTGGGAGCGGTTCCCCCGCGGTCGTTAAGAAACGCCTCGGGTTTCGGGAGTCTGCTCGGACAGATCCCTTCTTGCTGCTGATTGTGGCTTTTAGCCGAGTGTGCCTGTATATAGAGGGTTTTGCCGCTTAGTGTAAGATTGTCGCTTTTTGCGCGATGTAATAATTTAGCTGTTGGCGCCAGCTAGTCTGAGAAAATAGCAGAGACCGACTCTACACGGGATTCGGCTTTTGAGATCAGGCAGATTCGGCTCTTGAGACTGGGGGACTAAAGTATGGGTTTTAATTTTGGGAGTTTCGTAAATTATTGTTCACTTGTTGTCGTTTTGTTTTGAAATAAACGTGGCCACACTGGCCATCGTAAACCAGCCAACGTCGCAATGTGTCCAGCGAGATCGAGCAACCTTTAGTATATCTTTTTATTATCCACTTCCCGGGGTACTTGCATCAGGCGAACGTTATCATCGGTCGTCACCATCCTGACCGGCCCCCTCTGCCCTCCCTTGGAGAGTTGACTGGCGCAGTCGACAGGATCCTGCTGACTTCCTGCGACGGGCGGTGAAAAAGAGTGGTAGACTCAGCCCGCTTTGTTGACGAGCATGCTAAGGCGAAACAACAGGCATATGCCCAGCGGTACAATTTGAGGGCACGTCCGAAAGAGTTCACAGTGGGCGAGAGGGTTCTTGTTTTCGAGACGGGGCTTTCCGGTAAACTCCAGCCGAAATGGTCGGGGCCCGCAGTGATCAAGGAGCGAAAACGCGCGGACAGTTACATCGTTGACTGTCCGGAGGGGGGTGACAGGTGGGTACACGCTAACAAGTTGCGCAGGTATGTCCCACGGGCTCAGAGTGTTGCGGTTATCTTTGAATCCGATGAAGAATTCGAAGATGTAGAGAGCGTTCCGGCAAACAATGCGCATCACGCGACCATCGAGGAGATCACCCATAACTCGCCGCATCTTGGTGCGGACCAGCGGGTGCAACTCGCGACATTGCTGAGAAAGTTCAGGAAAGTATTCTCTGAAAAACCAGGGAGAAGTGTGGTAGGGGTACATAAGATAGCGCTGGTTGCCGAAGCGAAACCCGCGAAGTCATATCCGTACATGGTGCCGATCGCCCTCAGAAAAGCGGTCGAAGATCAGGTAGCACAGCTGCTCGAGTGCTTTATCTACCCTGTGGACAGCAGCTTCGCGCGCCCTGTCGTGTGTGTCGCCAAGAAAGACGGGTCGATCTGAATGTGTATAGACTACAGACGTTTGAACGCAATATCATAGGCAGACAGTTTTCCGATGGGGCATGTCACAGAACAATTTTACGACGTGGCAAAAGCCAGATACGTATCGGTGTTGGACATGACGCGAGGCTATTGGCAGGTACCGGTAGACGAGGACTCGCAGAGGTACACAGCCTTTGCGACCCCGCGCGGGCTGTATGCGTGGAACGTGACGCCGTACGGGCTCAAAAATTCCGCTGCAACATTTCAACGCGTCATGAATGAGGTACTAAAAGAACACCAGGGGTACGCTTCTGCGTACATTGATGATGTGGCGGTATAGTCGGAGACTTGGGAGGAGCACTTGGAACATCTCCAGAAGGTTCTGGAGACGATTCAGGTTGTGGGGCTTACTGTAAACCCGACAAAGTGTAGGTTCGCACAACCGAAGGTAAAGTATCTTGGCCACGTGGTGGGATCATCGTCACATGCTCCAGACCCGGAGAGGATGAGCGCCATCGCAGCATTCAAGGCGCCTAAGGCAAAGAGGGAACTAAGAAGTGTCCTGGGCTTATTCAACTATTATCGAGAATACGTTCCAGGATATTCGGAAGTGGCGCGCCCATTGACTGACCTCACGAACCGCCGGGTTCCCAACACGATACCTTTGGAGCACAGAAGCAGAACGGACGTTTAACTCGGTAAAGGAAACGCTGCCTACTGTGCCGACTCTGGCCGCCCCGGACATGAGCAAGGAGTTTATCCTCACGACCGACGCATCCGAACACGCCGTGGGGGCATGTCTCTCTCAGGAGTCGCAGGAAGGGGGGAAATCAATAACGTTTTTGAGCAAGAAGCTTACTGCCGCTCAGTCGAAATGGTCAGCTGTCGATAGAGAAGCGTTCGCTGTGGTGTGGGCATTGGGACGTTTGGACACGTGGCTGTTCGGTTCAAAGGTAAAGGTGAGGACAGATCATAACCCGCTAACCTATTTGACTTACTCGGCCCCCTCGAGTGCTCGTCTGACGAGGTGGACTCTGGCGTTACAGAAATACGATGTTGAAATATCCCACATCAAAGGGTCTCTGAATACTTGCGCAGATGCCTTGTCGAGGCTTGACCGCATCGAGTAAAGCGAATTCTAAATTTAGTGTTATAAAAATACACTAGATTTTTTTTTTCTGTTAGTGGTCTCGGATCGGTTGCCTGCGTCTACAGTTTCCTTTGTATAAATACTGGTCATGGTGGAATCTGGAATGTGCGGATTCTGGTCTCACCGGGCTTTTCTTTTTTTTTTTTTTTTTTCTCTGTCGCCCAACAGGTCTTTTTGCGAGGGGTATGGCTCCTCTGTTGTTGTTTTGTTTTTGTATGCCACGCGTCTGTCTCGGAAAAGGGGGACAGATGTTGCGCGAACAGCAAGTGCACTTGCAACATTCTTGGTGGGGAGGTGTTAAGTAACGAAGGATTTTGTTAGAAACAAGTAAGATTTGTTTTAAAAAAGTCTATCTTTCTACAGTTGCGTCGGCATCGCTTTTTTTTTTTAGCTTTCTTTGTGAGTGTCGGCGTTTTAGAGGGAGCATTTGCGTGGGCGGAGCGGCCGGGAGGTGGGAGTGGTTCCCCCGCGGTCGTTAAGAAACGTCTCGGGTTTCGGGACTCTGCTCGGACAGATTCCTTCTTGCAGCTGGTTGTGGCTTTGAGCCGAATGTGCCTGTACATAGAGGGTTTTGCCGCTTAGTGTGAAATTGTCGCTTTTTGCGCGATGTAATAATTTAGCTGTTGGCGCCAGCTAGTCTGAGAAAATTGCAGAGACCGACTCTACACGGGATTCGGCTTTTGAGATCAGGCAGATTCGGCTCTTGAGACTGGGGGACTAAAGTAGGGGTTTTAATTTTGGGAGTTCTGTAAATTATTGTTCACTTGTTGTCGTTTTGTTTTGAAATAAACGTGGCGGCCATCGTAAACCAACCAACGTCGCAATGTGTCCAGCGGGATCGAACAACTTTTAGTATATCTTTTTATTATCAACTTCCCGGGGGACTTGCATCAGGCGAACGTTATCATGGGTCGTCACCATCCTGACCGGCCCCCTCTGCCCTCCCTCGGAGAGTTGACTGGCGCCGGTTGCTTCGCTGCGTTTCTATAGAAGTTGTGGGATTTGCTAGCTACCAACTAACACAGGTACCGATAGAGTAACCAAAGGGTTGTCTCAACAGCGGCGGCGATCTCAAAGGAGCCGTCAAACCTAGCAGACCGCGGTCCCCACATCTCCGCGGCAATATAGACGAACGTTTAGGGCTACATTACCGCGGGTCGGTTCGATTAATTACCTCCGTCGGTGCCAATGATCGTCTACTTTGTCTCACTCTCTCGAATATAGCGGAAGAGAAGACACACGTACCAGAGTAAGGACAAAGTCCAAGAGCATTTATTAACATACCCTTTTAAACGAACTATGTCCCCATCCAAAATGCCCCCTGCGCCGGCAAGATAGGAAAAGGTCCTTACCTGGCCAGACGCGGGGTTCCGGAGAGCCAAGACCGGGAAAGCATCGGAGAAGTCGCCGACACACGTCCTATCTCTTTCGCGGTCACCCGGACGAGTTCCTCTCCCGAAAGCGGGAAAACAAGAGGCGAAACCTCCTCGCCTGTCGGCAGTGATTCGCATCCGAGCGGGGGGACGGAAAGAGGTCCCCCCGGGAGAGAGTGAGAGGAGAGCCCCCCAAGCCAGGCGGCT